ACAGGCTCCTCTCTAGCCCTGGGGACTTGGCCCGCATGGTCTTTGACAGGACAGTCTTTGACAACAGGCCCTGCTACCCTCGGGGAGAAGTCTGGCTAAGTGAGATCTGACACCGAGAAGGAATGAGCCCTAGGGGAGTTTTTGGGACTTAACTGTTCATATCGCTCAACAGGAACTGGTGATGTTACGGTCTTAGTAACGGTTCTCCTGAACAGAGGGGAGTGGGAATTTAGTAACCCAGTCAGTGCGCAGGGCTCCCGGGGGAGAAAGTGGAACAGAACACGAGCGGCCTCAGCGTTTGCAGGCAGGGCAGGGTGGCCTCAGGGAACAAGACCGACCACCGACCTACCACCTGAGCACTTGCCCTCTGCGGTTTTTGTCCTTTGGGCCGCTCTAGAGCCAGAGAAGCCCCGCTGGGCCTGTAGCCTGAAGGACCTGGTGTCGCTGGGAGCAGGGGTGGGGTGCTGCTGCCTCCGTACCTGACCGCTTTTCTGAAAAGCCTGCGGTAACGCATGGCCGGGGCCCTGAGGGCAGGGCAACAGTTAAAACTGCTCAATCGAAGCCCCGTGTCTTTTCAAAGACACTCTTGGCTCCTCAGGGAAAACGATTCTGCTACCGGCGACTGCACCTGACGCTGCAGTTATGGCGTGCCCGCAGCCCTGTGCCGCCCCAGTGCTTGAAGCCCGGGGCAGACACAGCTGCAACCCAAGACCCCGCTCCCCAGGCTGGCGCCTCGGTGGAGGAAGCCCTGGGAAGGATGGTGTCTCTCTGCTCCTCGCAGCCAGATGGCAGATGGCAGAGGGGAGGTCCTCTGCAGCGAGATGGTCAAGGGCAGATAACTGGGTGAGCGCCTTCTTCCGGGGAGGTCTAGCCTGGAATTATTAAGTGCACCCGAGAAATACACAGCTTCTGCCCCGAATTCAGGGGTTGGCACCTTGCAGAGCAGTCGCGGCGCAGCCTAGAAACCAGAACAGGAAGGCTTGTCTGTCCACTGCTGCCAGGAGCATCACTCCCCCAGGCCCACACCGTCCCCACCAGTCCCGGGGATCCTGCCCCTAGCAGATCAGGAACTGTGGACCGTTGCTGGGTGGGGGCACATGTCGGCAACACCACTCTGGCCTGAGAGTGGAGAGGAGACCCCAAGGAGCCACAAAGTCAGGATGTCAGGGTGAGGGCTCCGTGGCTCCCACCAGTAACTGCAGCCCAGGAGGGCTGCTCCCTGGGCTGGCCTGCGGGTGGGTGCCCCCTGAAGACAGAAGTGAGGGCAGAGAGGTTTCCACCAGTCGGACGGGAATGCTCAATTATCTCAATGACATTTCTGAAGAGCACTATCCCGACTGTGCAGAAAACGAGCCCAGTCAACGCTGAGACCACCCCTTTCCGTGTGGCTCAGGGGCCCAGTGGCTTTTACAAACCACTCAGAACAGTCCGCACGGAACTCTGGGCAACATCACTCCTTCCACAGACTGGAGGATGTGCGACTCAGGCCTAGAACGGCGCCAGGGCGGAGTGGGACCTCTGACCTGCTTGACACGGGTGGCTCAGGACAACAGTGAGGGTGCTAGGCAGGGATCTGAGGGCGAATAGGGGCGTGCCGGTGCCCTCCCAGCCTCGGGAGGGGTGGCTCCCTGTGCTCCTGGCCAACCCCTCACCCAGAGCGGGGGTCCTTCAGCTGGCCTTGCACCCCACCTGCTCTGTCCCCACAATGCACTGATTTCACAGAGAAGACGTGACAAGGGCACAGAGGACCAGCTGCAGGGGTCAAACGGGGAGTGTGACGGCCTGTGGGCACCCAGGGCCAGTGGGAAGGCCTGGTAGGCAGCTAGTGGAACTAGGCACTAGTGTGCTCTGACCTCATTGGTCCCGACATCCAGACGCTATGGTGTTCTCTGACGTGCAGCACCTTGGCTGGTGCAGTGACCAGTCCTTGGGCCTAGGAGGCTCACCCCCAGATAGTGCATGGCACACATCGGAGGCCACAGGGATGCTTCAGACAGCACCACGCATGTGACTGTTTCCCACAATATTGCTCCTGCCCCCACAGGACAGTGAGGGCCTGGCTCTCTGATAAAGAGCTAGCAGGCGGTGTCTGTGGTTTATAACCACACTGTGACAGGAGACCCCACGCTCCCGCTGGGCCAGGCGGCCAGCAGCCTCCTCTGGGCGCGACAGAAAGGGCTCTGATTGTTAAGAGCCAGGCTCTCACTGCATGTGGACAGGAGGCATCAGGTCTTTCACGTTTTCTTTGTATTTCTCTTCAAGAGCTGCTTGACCCAACATCTTTCTGTCTGCTCTATACAATGAAAATACAAACTGAATGAGAATAGAAAAAAGTAATGCAAACATTCCACTGTACAAATTATAGATCTGTTCCAGAAAATACTTACATGGAAGCAAACGAGCATCTCAGAAGGTACAGGGATGTGGATGGCGCCACGCCATCTGGGCAGGGCCCGGTCAGGAGGGAGCTAAGAGAATCTGCATCCAAGCACGGTTTGCAGCAAGTTTCATATTGTCAATGTAGGGGTTACACTGAACATGTCATGAGCATTGCTTGTGCAGGAAACGGATTTGTTTGGAAAGGGGGACGCAAGCTCTAGCCTCAATTCTGAGTTCATTAAAACTTGGCAGATCTCCATCAACAGCCTATATGGTACAGTTTCCAAAAAAGTAAACATGGTAAGTTAAGCAGACCACACATTTCCTTGCTGTATTTATGTTGGATTCTCCGTCTAATAGGGGCAGTTACGGAGCTTTGTGTCTTCGGTATAACATGGTCACGGGCTGGCAGCGCCCGGTGGGTGGACAGGGCACCTGAGGATGGGAGGAGGGACTCGCTCTTGTTGGCTAAGTTAGAGACGAAGTTATCAGGCAATTCCTGGTCCTGCAGGCCTCTCCTGGTATCATCTGGCGTAACGTTTAATGTAGTCTTCGACTTTATTCCGGAAGTCCTCCTGGAGACAAAGCAGTCAGGAGAGAAGGGCGTGGGTTAGCTGGAGAAACGACATCGCAGGGCCATCAGACACACTGTGAGTGGCCTCGCGGGCCCAGAGGACCAGAGCTTTGTGGAGCACATGCTCGTCCACCCACTACTGTGTGCAGGGCCTGCAGTGGGGTGTACCACATGAGGTGTGCCGGGGGGAGCCAAAAATAACAGGTCTGACAAGGCATCTCCCTCATTTTACGATGGAGGACTGGGGTCAAGGTCACCACAATCCCTGAGTGCCATGCTGGCTGCACCTCGTCTCTCGACCTGTTGCCTTTTAACACATGCCTGCTCTTCACAGCCCATGACAGCCCCCCACCCAAGGCAGGGGTGCTGCCGAGGTCATCCTCACCCAGCAAAGTGTTTGAAGGGTCCTGGGTGCCGGGACCCTCTGGTGGTGAACAGGGGCACAGGCTGGGGTCACGGTGGCCAGCAAGGGCTCCCAGCCTCCTTGGACCTGGGCGCTCCTCACTCTGGCCCCCATCAAAGTCAGAAGCTAAACCCCTTGGCTGTGCAGGAATAAACAAGGGGCCTTTGGGAGCTAGCATGGAACCCAGGCACCAAAGGAGTATCTGCAGCCCCACTCTGGCCCCACCAGCAGCCTGCCGGCTTCAGCATGAGCCTCCTTAGTGGCAGGACACCACGTGATCTGACTGCGGGACCACACTGCCTCAGTCTACTGAGGAAGACGTACAGTGGGTCTCCACGAGTCTGAGAATCTCCTCCTCAGCTCAGCACTTGGGCCTGGGGGAGGGGCCTGATCTGTGGCTCCAGGTGTCTCCCCCCCACCACATCTGTCAACGAGCCTGGAGGCAAGAGCTGTTGCCCCAGGGGCTTGGCGCTGTCACTGTGGTACTTTCGGCCAGCTGGGCGCTGGGCATGCTGAATCTCCTGCCTGTGAGACCTACCATACCTGGGGCACGAGTGCCCCTTCTGGGGGGCGTAAGCTCCGGGTCTAATGCCAAGAATGAGGTCAGCGCCTTGCTCAAAAGGTCACCTGGCATGGCTGGTGGCAGAGCTGACACACCACCTGGCCACGCAGAACCCTGCCTGCTGCAGACAAGTCACAAGGCCACTCCTGCCAGCAGCCCAGAAGGATATGACACCGCCAGCTCACAAGGACCAGGGCACAAGCTCTCAGAATGCGGAGACCCCCCAGCCTGCCCACCCCACCCCTGTACTGCCCAGTCTTCCTCCCTGAACCCTGGCATCACACTCAGGACACAGTTCGGGGCACACAGGCTGTGGGGAGCTTCCCACTCAAGGGCCGCCACGCATGGGCAGCTGCTGCCGGGGCTCTCTACATAATGGCTGTGTGATCCCGGGTGAGCCACTGAGCCTGCTGGTGTGAGAGAGTGTGTGTGTGTGTGTGTGTGTGTGTGTGTGAGGAACCCTGTGCTCCATGTGGGCACAGGACTGGCAGGAGCCTGACTGCCTGCCCACTGCAGCGCTCTGTGCAGGCGATTCCCCCACAGGGGCAGCAGGGGCCAAGCGGAGCAGCTGCCCGGGGCACTGAGCAGGACTCGTGGGAATACCGGGTGGCAGCTGGCGGCAGGGTGCCCTCCTGCAGCAGGCCTGGCTCTTGGTGTGCAGGCTGCCTGCTGGGGGTGGCAGCCGTGCGGACACTGGGGAGCCGCCTGTCCCCACGGGTGCTGCTCAGGACCCTGCTGTTTCCTGGCCTCAGCATAGAGCCTAGCTCCCCGTGAGCATGTGGCCTTGCCATGGCACCACACTGCTCAGGCTCTGGGTGTCTGCACGGAGCACAGGCTCCATGTCTGTGTCGCCTCCCAGGGCCGAGATCTCATCCCTGTGGCACTTTGCTCAGGACATGGTGACAATCAGACGAGGCACACGGACAACTTCACACACACGCAGGCACACAGCAGGTCTAAGCAGAAGCCAGCCCTCTTAGCACTCGGCACAGTGCTGAGCACCGACGTGGCAGTGTGCAAAACCTGGGACATCCATAGCCTATGTCCACCAGTCCACGTGTCGGGTGGCTGACTGGGACGGCAAGGGCTCCAGAGGGAGGTGATGCTTCAGAAGGTGAGTCACTCATCCCATTACTAGGACACCGAGGCCAAACACTCCCTGCCCTGATGGAGTCTAATGACTGTTAACCACCTCCACCCCACGCCTGTGGGGACTGGCCACGTACCCTGCACAGGTTCCTGCTCAGGCACCTCGATGCTGCTCACTGAGCTGTGGAAGGACCCCCATGCGCAGCAAGCACCCCCACCACGTCTCTACGGGACAGTGCTCACCACCAGCTCTCACGCTCTCCTCTGAGACAGGCTTGCATAGCAAGTGGTTTCCTGGGCATCCGACGTCACCAACCACAGTCTTATTGGCATGGAGTTCCCTTAGCTTTTCTTTCCATTTTGTTAAAAAATGGTTTGGACATTTTATTTCCAGGTAAAGAGTCCCTTAAAACAAGTGTCTTACTGGAAACACCTCAAGTCCACATGCACATAGGCAAAATGGAACCGCAATCGAACAGAGACAGGCTAATGCGATTGAACCAAGTCCCTGGTATCTGGGAAAGTGACCAAAGGGAACGCCCACAACATACAAAGCCCTCCTAAAATCCAGGAAAGAAAATCAAAGTGATCCAATAAAAACACGGCCCAAGAATACCAACAGGTAACCCATGGAACACGGAGTCAGTGCACATTCACAGAAAACACATCCCTCTCTAGAAAGTCAGGAAGTCAAGGAAAAGGCGATTTTCACCAGAACCCGAGCAGTAGCAACGTGCCTACGGCCATGCTGGGGAACAGGCCACTCAAACCAGAACACACAGGCTCTCAGGCCCAAGCCACCCCCGCTGTGGGGCTCTCTGACGTAGAAACGAAAGCCCCAGCATGTAGGAACGTGCATACATCGTTTATTGTTGTATGAAAGTACTGCAGGAAAAACCCAGCGTTCACCAATAAGAGAACGGTTAAAAACCGTGGTACAGCCCGTTCTGGGCCGAAGGTCTTGAGAGAAACAAGTTACGGCTTATGCATCAACCTGGAGGGAAGTCTGAAAACCACCACCCAGGAAGCAGCGTCTGCGTGCGTCCAGCTCAGTGCAAGGCGAGTAAGGCCTCAGGCACCGGGGCCGAGGCCTCCTCCTGCTCCTCAGCCCATCTGCTCGCGTCAGTCCCCTCAGACACGGCTGAGCTTGCTCCGTGCACCTCACACACGACGATGACCTCATCCTCCCTCACACGCGTCTCCCATTTCTTCACCCTCCCTCCCACCCGTCAACCCCCCACACAGATCTGCGACTTCTTCATCCCCTCCCGTGACATCTATCCCTTCCTCATCCTCCCTCACACATGTCCACTTCTCCGTTCTCCCACATATATGTCTGCATTGCTAACGAGGTAAGTGGCCTTGCAGACTACTCATACTGAGTTCTACTGGAAACCACATCGAACCAAGAACGCCTCACTCTGACCTGGAGGAACCACTGTTGTCTGAGGCGCCTCACACTGTCAGGCAGGCGTTCTGTCGCCGTCGTCAGGTGCTGCTGCGTCAGCTCCGACTCAGGGTGACGTGCCACAGAAGGCGCTGCTGCTCGTCCCGCACCCTCCTCACGATCGCGGCCGTGAGCCCGCGGCCGCAGACGCAGGATCTGTAAGTGGCTCTGAAGTCCAGTCCCGGGCCCCGGCCCCCGCCTCTCACCGATCTCACCCAGAGACAGCAGTGCCCCCTGTACCCAGTGCAGCAACCGGAAGCGGCCCTTCCAGCTCACCTTGTCCCGTAAATGGTGCTCTGCAGCTTCAATGTTCAACGGGTCATCAAAATTCAACAGATCCTTCAAGAGAGAGAGAAATGCAAAGTCAGCAGGGGAAAGGGGCTGCTTTTCTGCTGAGTCTTCACTTTATGAAGCAGGCAACAGGATGGAACTAGCAGCGGTAGAACGACCCAGAGAGCTGGAGACCTACAGGAAGAACCGGCCTTCTTCGCTTCTTTGAGGGTGAGGGCACTGTACCTGGGCATTTCTTCCAAATGGTGACTCTCGGCTGACTGAGTGAAGCTGGGCCCGTGGACGTGTAAGTTAGGAGTTAGGAGAAAAAGGAGGGAACGGCCGTTACGTGAACTTCTCATGCTATTTTTGATAACTAGAGATTGAAAGCCACTTTCATTATGAACGTTTAAAAAATAAAACCACAGTTGCTTCATTAAAATCATAGTTTCCTATTTTGATTTTGTTTGTGATGAACGACTCTGCCTTGATAAGGCCAAATTCCGATCTGCCCGTGAACTCACCTACATGAGCACCACACTGAACCCAGCTACCTGTCTGCAACCTCACTGAATGTAGCACTACGCCACCCACTGGCCTGCTCTGGGCTGTCAGGCTGGACCACCGGCCAGTCTGCCTCGGGCCCTCAGGCTGGCACCACCAGGCCAAGCTGCGATGGGGCCCTCGGGCTGGCACCAGGGGCCTCTGACCTTAGGAAAGTACCCCTGTGGTGTGGCCCCTGGTTATGCAAGAGACACTGAAGAAGAGATGCTCAATTCTATACCGCGGGCCTGGCAGCTCTTTATACATCCCACTCCTTTTCTTGAGCACAGCACTTCTTCTGAGTCGTGGCTTTCCACAGCCATAAAGGATGTGTCGTTTAAAGCCAATCATGCCAAAGCAGGGCTGGACTCCTGACATGAAAATCAACATGGGCGTGGCCAGTCACGTCATCAACAGCAAAGGAGAACTACAAATACCTGTGCTCGCATCAGCCGTAAATTAGACTAGAACTTGGAATGGCCACAAACAGGAAGCCCTTCTTCTACGAGCCACCCCATGGGCCACAGAGACTTGTCAGAACCACAACATTTCGTGTCTTCTTTACCATGTCTGACCTAGTGATTACACACGCTTCTGACTGGCTCTTCGGAACAGAGAAGGCCTGGGCAAACACCTGCCCTCGTCGGCCCCTCAACTAAAGCTGAAGATGTGAAGGCCCAATGGAGCACAGCCCTGGGCAGCCTTTCAGCACCTTGGCCCTGGAACCCCATCCACTTCAATCTGAACACCAAAACCAAAACAAACCAAAGCCCTGGGCCGGCACCACGGTCTGGGTGGAAAGTGGGAACCACTTTCCATGGGGATGAGGATGATCTCAGGACAACTGGGAGGCGTGTGCGCGTCTGCCTGCACCAGGCACCTGCCGGGGATACCAAGCAGGACGTCTACCAAGGGCAGGTGGGCTGGTTGGGCGTCAGTTCTTTGGCTGAAGGTAAACCCAGGACCGTCATGCCCTAGGACGGTGGGATGAGGACCAGCAGACCCAAGGTCTGTGGAGCCAAGTCCCACAACCTGCACCACCGCCCTGGGGACATCAGGCCATTCTGGGGAGGCAGCTGTCTGAGACGGGCTCAGCTCACGGGCAGGGCTTAGGTTTTAACAAAAGTCTCAAAATTGTTTCATGAAGGGCAGACCCCCGAAATTTTTTTTCCAGTCCAGCTCTTTTCTGAATTAAAAAGTAAAAACTCAAAGGAACTAATAACATTCAGTGGCACGTCCAGAGGTGTACAGCTGTGTCCTTCCCCGCGCCTCCGTGCCTTCTTCCCACCCCAGAGCTGCCACCGGCTGAGCTGTGCCGTCTCCCTGAGGACGAAACCCTAGGCAGCTCAGAGCCGACGCCAGGACAACCACTCCCGGGTGAGCACGGGATTGTCCCTCCACGTCAGGACACCTGGAGGGGCGGGGCCACCCGGCTTACACAAGGCCAGGCAGGCGAGACAAGCCCAGTGTTCCCAGAAGGCGAGGGGGCCCCTCCCGCAGGCAGCAGAGCAGCTGCTCCCCAGCACCCCCTCTGACCCACAACAGAGCAACAGAAAAGAGGCATGCACATGTGCCAGGTTCTGGGGATGTTTTAAAACCCCCTTGTGTAGTCCTAAGGAGCTGGGATGGTACAGTAGTTAAAACACTGGGCTGCTAACCAAAAGGCGGGCAGCTGGAACCCACCAGCCACTGCTCAGGAGAAAGATGAGGAAGCTGGCTTCTGCAGAGATTACAGCCTTGGAAACCCTCTGGAGAAGTTCTCCTCTGTCCAAGCAGGTTGCTATGAGTCAGAATCAATTCGATGGCAGTGGATTTGGTTTTGTGTTTTCCATAATGCAATAGTTGAAAGCAGAAATCAAGGAAAAGAAGTAAGAACTGGAATTGTGATCAATATACTTACAGTAAATAATGAGTTTAATCCCCAGACAACATCCTGAAATAAGGAGGAAAACAAGTTTCAGGCTTGTAAGCATGTTAAAGAATTTTAAAGCTATGACCCAGCACTGTGTACGGCACCGAATCAAACCTTTCTGCAGCGGGCTTTGCTTCTCTCCAGACAGACCATTAAAACACCTGCCTGCAGTCCAGGACTCCCTAGAAGTGAGTGTGAGGTCAGCCTGGCCCACACTGCACCATGGAGACCCCCAGGTGTTCGTATGCAGGGCACAGCTTCACCATGACCCCCGCCATCAGCAGACACCACAGACCTCCCACTTCATCTTATCAGTCACTGCTATTTCCAGGCTCTTGGGGGCAAGAGATGAGCCAATCACCCACCACCACAGGGTCTTCCTAATTTTGCTCTGAAGTTACATCCAGGCTCAAGGGAGAGTAGTAATTTCAGGGGTAAGAGATTTTCACTATAATGAGATGAAAACTCAGTTCTCTCTAAGATCTGTGACGTGGTCACATCTCCCCGAGCGACCCTGTGGTCTGTGACTTGATCACAGGTCTGGCCTGGCCTTTCTTTCTGCGAGAAGAGGAGTCTCGTCTTTCTGGGGCGCATTTTCACCCTCATCCAATGTGTGGTCATTTAACCGCCTTCTCTACTCTCAAATCTGTCCACTGTGCCGTCCATCCCTCCCTCCCTCCCTGTCCCTGACCTCCTGGTGTGAGTCTGTTTGCTGGAGGAGACAGAGAGATGGGTGTGTTAGGGGACCAGCCGCCGTCCACGGGGCGGGGTATCACCAGAGGAGCAGGGGAAGGCTGGCTATGGGGCAGCGCCATTGCACCTACCTTCAGCGTCCTCGTCGGTGCCCAGCCAGTGCCATCAATCGAATGCTCCCGCAGCAAGCTGAACAGATGCAGAAAGCGCTGTGAGCGAGGAGCAGCCAGGAGGCCCTGTGCTGCCGCAGGGGCCACGCTGCCCCCACCACCTCTCCCAGGCTGCCTCGAGATATTTCTGCCCTGTAGCAGACGCGTTTTATGTTATACTGTGGTTGAGAGTGAAGCCCACAGCTGCCAAGTGTGTGTGTGGAGGGTTCAGGCTCACAGTAGGGGGTTTAGTACCAGAGCCCCTACAATGCGCACCGCTGTCTCCCAGAGGAAGTGAAGCAGAGGAGTAAGAAGAAACACTGAAGGTTTAAAAGGCTCACAGCATTTCAGCTCTCTGCTGACAGCAGCAGGAAGGCAAGGTATGGACCCTCATCTCCGGCCAGTGCAAGTGGGGATACGTCCCCTGCGGGGCACACCCCGGGCAGATCAAGGCCCGTCTGCTTCACAGAGGACCCAAGTGCCTGTGAGCCAGGCCTCCTTAAGCCTGGCGTCCACACTTTATCTGTGGGATTTCATCAATCGTACTTGTCTTCTTAGGCTAAAATGAGCCTCGTGGAGGAAACGCAGGTTCTCATTAGAAGAGGAGGGGGACCAGCTGGCAGCAGGCTGTCCCGAGAACCAGGGCCAGCATATTCACACGGGAACCAGGGCCAGCATGTTCACACGGGAACCAGGGCCAGCATGTTCACACGGGAACCAGGGCCAGCATGTTCACACGGGAACCAGGGCCAGCATGTTCACATGGACATGCTCACACTTCAGGTACCACATCTCAGCCATGGCTCTCAGGTGCACTCTTTGCTCTGAGAGGGCACAGTTCTAAAGCCCAGTGACCAATCCCACCGCTCCCGTGTGGGTAAGGGAAATAGGAGCAGCTTGCCTCAGACAGATGTCCCCTGTCTCTGTGATGTTGGGGTGCCAGATTCTGGTCAAGCACTTCACTTTAGGGGGCTGCAAAACAGAGAGAGAAGTCACAATGATGGTTCTCTAACCCCAGCAGTGTCCCCCACAGCCCAGTGCAAGGCTCACTCATAATAGTTCCCTAACCCCAGCAGTATCCCCTATGGCCAGCCCAGGGCACACTTGGTAATGGTCCCTAACCCCAGCAGTATCCCCTACGGCCAGTGCAGGGTGCACTCGGTAATGGTCCCTAACCCCAGCAGAGTCCCCTACGGCCAGTGCAGGGCGTACTCGGTAATGGTCCCTAACCACAGCAGTGTCCCCTACGGCCAGCACAGGGTGTGTTGGTATCATCCAAGTGTCACTCAGCCCCTTCAGTGTCGCGCCCCCCACAGCTGCACGCTGCTCCCTTCACCCCCACAGGCCTGAGTGTCACACTGAGCCCACTCCTGCCGCCCCCAGACATGCTGTCAGCGCAGCCCAGCAGACCCCACACCAGGGCCTGCGTGCCATCTGCCCACAGCGCTGGCAGGCAGGGCTGGGCCTTGGCACCTCCGACCTGGCGGAGCGCAGCGCCATGGGAGAAGCCTGTGTCCCCTCAGGACCGACAGACACCCCTGAGCCAAGTGTCCGTGCACTGCGGCTGAGGGACCGCATCTGCAGGGGTGACCTGTCCCCTCTGCTGACAGTCTCCAGAGAGGCGGCTACAGCACACACGGCCGACAGGGAGCAGGGCAGCACCCCAGGACACGTCATGCCGGGCCGTCCCGGTGAAGGCGTCCGTCAGTGACTCCCCTGCTGTAGGAACAGCTCATTCACACAGAAGAGGAAAGACAACACAGGCCTGGCTCACAGGAGGAGAGAGAACCACCCCCTCAGAAGCTCTACTGACCGCCAGCGTGGCTCTGAGCCTCCTCTTGGCCACACAGTCAGGTTTCTTTATAAACAGCAGCGTGTGCTGTTTCAGATCCGTTTTGCTGCCCCTCCACATGGACCCTGGCTCTCCCCAGGGGCCAAGCAGCACTTGGCAGACCACTGTCCTGAAATGGGCCAGAAGGGGCCCACCGTGCTGGTCCCTGGGGCTGCAGAGGGTGCCTTTGTCTGCCCTGCACTGATGACATTTCATGACCTGCCATCTTAGAGACACTAAAGTCATCAATCCTCTGTCAACTAGGCCACATTTTTCCCATCCATCTTGGGTGTTAACTCTTAGTTGTGGTGTGGAAATTGTTATCTTTATAATCAAATTATCAGCTTTGACGCCATACCTAGAAAATACCTTAGCATCTCAAAGGCCTGTCAGTACCCACACATACCCTGTCTGCACTTTCTCTTGTCTCTAAATAAGAGACAAGAGAAGTACACGCTTACAGCCCAGTGGGTCTCCTCTCCGATTCAAACCAGAACACAATTGAGAGACTCCACACAGTTGCTGCCCCACACGTGAAAATGTGTGAGTGTGAACACACCGATCAGCTGTGGGGCCCCTGAGGGCACCTCCTGTCAGGCCCAAGGCTGCCGAGAGGCTATCAGTGCTGCAGGGTGGGGCTGCGAGTGCTCTCAGGGGCCGACCTCAGTCACAGTCCGCTCAGACTGCCTCACTGACTCCAGCATCTGAAGGAACCTAAGAGAAGAGCAGGTCCACTCTCCCTCCCAAGACGATGTCCCCTCAGCAGAGGCCCCGACGCACAGACACTCCTAGGCTTGCTGCACCTCCCAGGGCTTTCCCCTTGCTCCTCGCCACCTTCTACACACATGCGTACTCACTGCCATCCAGTCGGATGCAACTCACAGCGACCCCTCCTCAGGTTCCTGAGGCAGCATCATTATGGAAGCCCAATTTCCTTCTGAGGAGTGGCTGGTGGGTTTGAACTGCCAGCCTTCTGGTTAGTAGTCAAATGCCTTAGGCACTATGCTACCAGAGCTCCCATCGCCACCTTCTAGGCGTCATCTATACAGACAACCCCGACTCCGATGACTGCTCTGGACCAAACAGAGAGCAGGGCTCTGTGTCAGAGCCACGCACCCTGCACCTGGACACGACACGTTCCGTAATCTCTTCTGCCGCACCCCCTGCCACCGCCACTGGAGCAAGACAAACATAAAGCAGACGCTGCCCCTTCTGCAGTCCCTGCCACCCCGGCTGGCCCTGCCGCCCACCTACCGTGCAGCAAGGACTTCAACACGATCCCCAGCATGCCTCCCATCAATGGGGAAAGTGGCCCATTCAGTGGACAAATGGCCAGCCCCGCTCAGAGCCGCATCCCAGACACAGTGACACTACATGGAAGGATACAGAACCAGCAGAGAACGAGAAGGAAACGCACAGGAATCATCTCAGGGTCTGAGGGGCGCGCGCTCAGCATTACGTAACACGAAAAAGGAAAAGAGGAGGAGACGGGGCTACAGGAGCTAAAGACAGAGACGACGACGGAAACCAGGGAAGAACTCGGCAGCCTTGCCGAGTGCCATTAATTGCCACACAGAGGCCTTATCCAGGGCTGTGCATGCACAGGGAGACCGCTCGGGGGGCAGGAGTGTATGGAGGGAAGGACACAGGGAAGAGGGAACTATGGGGAGAAAGAGGGAGGGGAGCTGTTACATTGTGGGAGATTGCAGTCAATGTCATGAGACAAAGGGTGTATGAACTGTTGTATGGAATATAAAATTGCTCTGTAAACTTTCACCCAAATCACAATAAAAATTAAAAAAAAAAAAAAAAAAAAAAAAGCCCCACCCATCTGTGAGACCAACAGCCCAGGGGAGAAAGAGGCGAGAGCCAAGGGCAGCCCATGTGCAGCATGAATGGCGAGTGGGGACACCAGCCAGCGCCCCACATGTTCCTGAGACACAGACTCAATGATCTGATTACTCCTCTAGAAAGGCAGAGAAGATACACCATCTTCAGGAGGGCTTTGGACAAGAGGTCTTCTCAGACACAGATGGTGAACTCACCAATGGGCTCATCTCTCTGGAAAGAGGGCCGTTTAATCATATTTTCCAAGCGCCTTAGGTCGAATGTCACTCAGCCCCCTAACCCCACCTCCAGGAATCTGCCCAGAGGAGACACACCGACTGCACTGTCACTCTGGGGCCAGCGGTTCCAGCCTCGCCTGCTCCCACGTGGCCTGAGGTCTCCAAAAAACATCTACTGTATCAGGGGTGTTTTTTTTTAAAAACCAGAATATGTGACTGAACGTGGCCCCTAGAGTCCGAACCATTTACTACCAGGCCGTTTACAGGCAGAGTCTGGTCCATGCCATGGAACAGCTGGCAACACACAGTTTAAATCCCCAGTCCATCCTTGTCATGATGTGATGATGTAACGATATGTGTTAACCGACACGGAACGTTTACCAGATGACCAAGTCACCAACTGTGTGTAGTGCGATGCCCTCTGTCTGACTGGACCCTGTCTGTGACATGTATCAGTCAGGAGTCATCAGCCTGGGTGGCGGTGGTGGTGATTAACACTCTACCCTGCACAGCCATCCTTCTCAACCTCCTAGGAAGTAAAACCAACTCCATCCAAGGTGGACGTGCAGGAATCGCCCGTGGTCTCAGGACAGCTTGGGAACAAGGATTTCTGGCCATGTGGAGGACTGCCTTCCTCACCTGCCTTGGGCTGGCCCTGACACCTGACTAGGCCAGTAACATGTGGTGGCCTAGTGTGACCCATGCCATTCCCAGGAGGAAACCAGAGCCAAGACGGAAGAGCCACACCCCCGTTTCCTGCCTCAGCAAGCGGCCCCTCCAGCCTGAGCCTCTGGAAGCAGAGACGCTGGGTGGGGCTTCAGCCAACTCCCACCTGATGTGGGAGCAAGAAATGAACGGCTTTCTTTTGCAGCCCGCCTGCTTCCAGATGCCCCCAGATGCTAACTGTCTGTACCTGCGCCATCTCTCCCCGGCCTCCCTCCTGAGGCGGCACCCAGAGCCCAGAAGCTGGAAAACAGAGACATGAAGAGACACTTCACCAAGGAGGATATTCAGGCGGCCAACAAACATATGAAGAAATGCTCAAAATCATTAGCCGTTAGAGAGATGCAAATCAAAACAACAATGAGGTACCATCTGGCCCCAGCACTAGTAGCAAAGTTTAACAAGACAGAGAATAACAAATGCTAGCAAGGAGGTGGAGAGATTGGGACTCTCGTACGCTGCTGGTGGGACTGTAAAATGGTACAACCATTGTGGAAAGCAGTATGGCGATTCCTTCAAAAGTTAGAACTAAAAATACCATTTGAACCAGCCATTCCATTACTAGGTATATATCCTAAAGAAGTGAAAGCCATGACAAGAACAGACATATGGACACCCATATTCATCGCAGCCCTATTTACGATAGCCAAAATACAGAAAAAAACTAGGTGCCCATCAACTGAGGAATGGATAACCAATCTATGCACACATGCACACAACGGAATACTATATGCAACTCTAAAGAATAATGTAGAATCTGCAAAACACCGCATAACATGGATGAACTTGGAGGACATTATGCTGAGTGAAATAAGTCAGTCATAGAAGGACAAATATTGTATCAGTCCGTTACCGTAAAAGTCAAGGAAAGGTTTATCTATGGAAGGAAATTTTCTTTGATGGTTACCAGTGGTGGGAGGAGAGGGGAGGGAACACTGTTAGACAGGTAGAGGTAAGTATTGATTTAGGTGAAGAGAAGGGCAATGCACCAAATGTGAGTGATCAACATGGTGGCATTGAGGAAGAAGACATAGAGAGGTGCGTGGGAGGTACAGACAACAAAGATGAACCCTTTTGCACATACAGTACTGCATTGTCAGTGAAGAGGCAAACATGGGTATATGGGTGGATAGATGGGTGGGCAGACTGAACTATTAGGAATGTCTGTGAAGTGGGGAGTGTACCTAAGACCATGTATAGGGTTGGCAGACAATGGTCCCATAAGTGTATTTGTATGATCTGTAAGAATTCCCAGATGTATAGTAAAGCTGATAAGGGACAAGGTTGTAGTCACTTCTTGGTCACAGCCAGCTACCCAGAGGGATCGAGTTGTTGAACTGGTGGGCTTGGGACCATTGTCACAGGGGACATCAAGCTCAA